CGGGAGTTTGGAGTGTTCCCTGGCTGGCGGTTCGCATGGTTTTATTTTACCCGCTACCCGACCACATTATTGCGAACGGGGAATACTCGCTAAACGGCGGTTTGTACATTTCATTACTGGAGGTAACGTAACAACTGGTGGCAAGCGACGGGATGATCCTCAGCGCCCAAAGAAACCACTACAACCAGGATTAAATGGAACTACAATACCAGAACCTGAGAAGAGCTACCCTGAAGGATTTATTGGAACAAAGAGGCGGACAAGCCAGTAACCTCAGGAAGAGGGATATTATTACACTATTGCTGGAAATGGATGGAGTACCAGCGGAAGAGGGAACGAATGGACCCAGCACCGACAGAACCCCCGAGGAGGCAAGCTTCGACCGGGCGGTAAGAATCAGGCTGGCCCATTATGGTCCCAACCCAACTAATGACTGTCACCCAGGTCATAGCCGCTGTGGAGGCCAACCTGCTACGCCAAAGCGGTGCTGCAGCAGCCCCAGTCACAGCAGACCCGGGAGATAGGAAAAAGGTACCATTTACAGCATTTAAAGCCTTCAGTGAGACAGAAGGAGAGATTGATGGGTACCTTGCTGATTTTGAGCGGCAATGTGCCCTGCACAAGGTACCCCTAGAAGACTGGGTTACTATACTGTCTGGCAAGTTATCCGGCCGGGCCAGCGAGGCTTTTCGGGCCATTCCAGATGAGGAGATTGGGGATTATGGAGCCGTCAGGGAAGCTTTACTCTCCCGGTATGCTGTTACACCTGAGGCGTACCAGAGGAGGTTCCGAGACACTGTTAAAACCTCTGGGGACTCATATGTGGAATGGGCATGCAAGGTGCACCGCACAGCCGCTCACTGGATGGCGGGGTGCCAGGCTGTGTCCGGGGAAGAGGTGCTGCAGATGTTCCTCTTAGAACATTGTTTTGATAAAGTCTCATCAGTAAGGCTCCCGCCAGAGTGGAGTACAGGCCAGCAGCACCAACAGCAGCCAACCTATACCAGCCTCCCATGACTCGCCCATCAGCACCCCCTCCATCTGCTCCGTACCAACAGCCACCCAGGTTTAATGCACGGGAATACACGCAACCCATTCGGTGCTACCTGTGCAAGCAACTAGGGCACAAGCGACCAGAGTGCCCGATGAACAGCGCCAACCAGAACCAGTCCTGGAGGAGACCAGCCGGCGGCAATCCACGACCTCCCCTCCCGGCCGCTCACTGTGTAGAGGAAGAGGAGTGCTGGGGCATCCTGCATGAGGCAGACACCGTTCAAGCTGCTCACCGGGATAACCGACAGCATCACCGGCAGTGTGTGAAAGTAAATGGGAAGGAGGTCAGTGGTCTACGGGATACCGGGGCAACCATGACTTTGCTCCAGAAGCACCTGGTATCAGAAGCCCAACATACCGGGGACACGGTCGCCGTACGAGTAGCTGGAGGTGCCGTGTTTCGTCTGCCCGTTGCCCGGGTACATTTGGATTGGGGAGTGGGCGCTAGACATGTGAATGTGGGGGTCATGAAGGACTTACCAGCGGATGTTCTCCTTGGCAATGACTTGGCGCCCCTTGTTTCCGCCTACGCTCCCATGGGTCCTGCTGAAGTGGATGCTGTCACGACCCGTGCCCAGACCCGTGCCGCCGAGACCGGCCCACCTGCTGCTGAGACCCAGGTAAGACTCTCTACCCCGACTTGTACCTTAGACCAGGCCCCTTTAGGCTGGGATACCCCAGAGATGTACGGGAAGGAAACCAGGGAGGACCCGACGCTAGCCAAGTACAGGGCCAGGGCCGATTCGGGGGGAGAAGGAGTAGATGGGGAGCACTACGAGTGGGTGGGGGATAGACTATACAGGATCCCGAAACCGTCCCAGAAGCCGAGTACCCCTCCGCAGAATCGACAGCTAGTGGTGCCTGCAAAATACCGGCAGGAGATTCTGCGGATTGGGCATGATGTGCCATTAGCCGGCCATCTAGGTTCCCGCCGCACAGCTCATAGGATCACACAAAATTTCTTCTGGCCCAATTTTAACCGAGATGTGCGGGTTTACTGTAGCACGTGTGACACTTGTCAACGGGTAGGTAAGCGGGGGGATCACCCAAAAGCTAGGCTTCAGTCGATGCCTATCATTGGAGAACCCTTTTCCCGCATAGCCGTTGACATTGTGGGACCACTGGCCAGGGCTAGCCCATCAGGTAAGAAGTATATTCTCACCGTGGTGGACTATGCCACACGTTATCCAGAGGCAGTAGCGCTGTCTAATATAGAGGCAGAGACGGTTGCTGATGCCCTGGTTAAAATCTTCACTAGGGTCGGGTTCCCTCAGGAGATCCTCTCCGATCAGGGAACCCAGTTCACCGCTGTGCTTACCCAGCAGCTGTGGAAGGTGTGCGGTATTAAACCTCTGCTTAGCTCACCGTATCACCCACAGACTAACGGTCTCTGCGAGCGATTTAATGGCACCCTCAAAAAGATGTTGAGGACCTTTACTGACACTTGCAGAGATTGGGAGCGATTCCTGCCTCATCTGCTATTTGCATACAGAGAGGTGCCCCAGGAATCTACTGGGTTCTCCCCCTTTGAGTTACTCTATGGGAGAAGGGTCCGTGGACCCCTAGATCTCATTAGAGGACACTGGGAGGGGGAGACAGAGCAAGAAGGGACTCCCATAGTACCATATGTCCTGGAACTCCGGGACCGCATGGAGAAACTATCCCTGATGGTCAGGGAGAATCTCCAGGCGGCCCAGGGGAGACAGAAACGGTGGTACGATCGGGGTGCCCGACAGCGGGTCTTCCAGGTTGGGCAGAAGGTTCTGGTACTCAAGCCTGTGAAGACAAACAAGATGCAAGCATCTTGGCAGGGCCCGTATAAAGTGTTAGCTCAGGTGTGTGATACTACCTACCTTATAGCCAGCTGTTCAGATGGAAGGATTCAGCGATCCTTCCATGTGTACATGCTGAAGGAGTATCAGGAACGACCAGAGGATGTGACGGCAGTATGTGCCCCAGCTACTGACGACTCCGAGAACTTACCTTTACCTGACCTGTTAGAGAGGGATCCCCAGACAGACCTTACTAGTCTTGTACAGCTGGGGGACCGGCTAAACCCGGCGGAGAAGGTACAGGCGAGACAGTTACTGTGGGAGAAGCAGGCGACGTTCTCCCAAGAACCCGGGTACACTACCCTAGCTGTACACAAGGTCGAGACACCCGGACAGAACCCCCTACGACAACCCCCATACCGTATCCCTGAAGCAGTCCGAGAAGGAATGCGGACGGAGATACAGGAGATGACCAGGCTGGGGGTTATCGAACACTCAGACAGTCCTTGGGCCTCGCCTGTAGTTCTGGTGCCTAAGAAAGATGGGACCACCCGGTTCTGTGTGGACTACAGGCGGCTCAACGAGCGGACCACCACTGATGCCTACCCTATGCCCCGGGTAGACGAGTTATTAGACCGTATTGCCAGGGGGCGCTACTTGACCACCATTGACCTGTGTAAAGGTTATTGGCAGATCCCCCTGGCCGAGGATGCTATCCCGAAGTCGGCATTCGTCACCCCATTTGGCCTGTACCAGTTTAAGGTTATGCCATTTGGGATGAAGAATGCTCCGGCTACGTTCCAACGTATGGTGGATAGGCTCCTCGATGGCTTCCAGGACTTTGCATGTGCATACCTGGATGACATTGCGGTCTACAGTGAGTCCTGGGAAGACCATTTAGTACACGTGGGGGTGGTGCTGGATAAGATTCGGGCCGCAGGCCTGACCTTGAAGCCAGACAAGTGCCATCTAGGCATGGCAGAAGTACAGTACTTGGGTCACCGAGTAGGATGTGGAAACCAGAGACCCGAGCCAGCCAAAGTAGAAGCTGTAGCTAACTGGCCCACACCTAAGACCCAAGTACTGGCCTTCCTAGGGACGGCAGGGTATTACCGACGTTTTGTCCCAGACTACAGTACGGTTGCCAAGCCCTTGACTGACCTGACTAAGAAGAATTTGCCTAAGCAGGTCCTGTGGTCTCCAGCTTGTGAAGCCGCGTTTCAAGCACTTAAGCAGGCTCTTGTGAATGCCCCTGTCCTGGCTGCCCCAGTCCCTAACAAACGTTTTCTTGTATATACAGATGCTTCCATGTATGGACTGGGGGCTGTGCTAAGCCAGGTCGGGGAAGATGGAGGAGAGCACCCTGTCGCATACTTGAGCAGAAAGTTACTACCTCGGGAAGTGAGTTATGCGGCAGTGGAGAAAGAGTGTTTAGCCCTGGTCTGGGCACTGAAGAAATTGAGCCCTTATTTGTATGGACAGGAGTTTTCCCTTATTACGGACCATAACCCCCTTGTCTGGCTTAACCGGGTCTCAGGAGACAATGGCAGACTGCTGAGGTGGAGTTTGGCACTACAGCCTTACAACTTCACCATCAGCTACCGATCCGGTAAGCAGAATGGGAATGCGGATGGGTTGTCCCGGCAAACAGACGTCCCTACTTCTTCCCAGTCCGGTCATCCCCAAGTTGACCCGCCAAAGGGTCAAGCCGGGTCTGCCGGAGTGTTCCACAAGGGGGGAGCCGTGTGACAGACCCATCTGTCTGGATTACAAATACATTGTTCGCTTGTTTTGCCGGTTACATGAATTTCCCCATTCGTATGCTTTATTCAAGGGAATGTCGTTTTTTGTCGAACGGAACTACCGAACGGACGGCCACCCAGAAGGGAAGTGTGCTGCTGGTTAACCTATTGATCCCAATTAGAACGTTGCGGTTAACCACAGACACTTCTCAATTAAAACCGAATGCCGGGTGGTCGTCGTTAGTATGTCTACCACGAGGCGGCGGCCATTTTGTCCATGCGAAAGACCAGCGGTGTTCGATTATTTCATGGATCTGAAAACGGACACTTTTTCAGCCGAACACCGCTGAAGCCGTCGACCTCCCCTTCTCAATCGACAAAAGCATACGAATGCCAGCCGTTCGGGAGATTCAACCACACGAATGGACTTAACCCAGATAGCCGTCCCATGGAGTCAATCGCATACCGACGAACTGAAAGAGACTTTGACTCCATGGTGATTGAACTGTGCGAATGGGATCTGAGCGCTATTCTCCAATAATGTGCACTCAGATCCAGGCTATCTGGGGATATGCAATACGAATGTAATATGTTCGGCAGTTATGTAGTTATGGATTTTTATGTGTTTTTGTGACTTGTGTTTAAAATGGCGATTGCCTCTGCTCGGGGAGATAATTGAGTTACTTCCCAATTATCCCCCGAGCAGAGGGGAGGGAACTGTGATGCATGCTGGGATTATTGTGGGGATGTCCAAAATGTTCCCATGTCCTTCTGTGATTTCAGTCTCCCATTTGGTCCCCTAGGGGAGTGTCCACCAAGTGGGAGACCTGCATAAATACCGGGCAGGTAGCCCACAGTAAATCAGTTCGTGTTTTACCCTCAAAGCGGAGCTTGGTCTCGTTATTGGGGGGATTTGGTTACCAGCGACTAGAGACTGCTTATTTGGATTATTTGCCGCTTGTTGTCGTTCGGTTACTAATTGCCGTTCGTGGATTTGCAGCTCGTGAAGGGAATTAGCCGTACAGGTACCGTTTGGGAGTTTGGAGTGTTCCCTGGCTGGCGGTTCGCATGGTTTTATTATACCCGCTACCCGACCACATTATTGCGAACGGGGAATACTCGCTAAACGGCGGTTTGTACATTTCATTACTGGAGGTACCGTAACAATGTGTATCTACATGTTATTGTGTGTCTGTGTATCTGCATGTGTGTCAGTGTGTGTATCTGAATGTGTCAGTGTTTGTACCTGTGTGTCTATGTATCTGCATGTGTGTCACTGTGTGCATCTGTGTAAATGTGTCATTGTTTGGATCTGTGTGTGTATCATTGTGTCTGTGCACCTGTGTTTGTGTTAGTGTTTGTGTCTGTGTATCTGCATCTGTGCCAGCGTGAGTATCTGCATATCGTAATGTGTGTCAGTGTTTGTAACAGTGTCTGTGTCTGTATTCCAGTTTGTATCTATGTATCCTCATGTGTGTCAGTGTGTGTATCTGTGTGACTTTATCATTGTTTGGATCTGTGTGTCTGTGCAACTATATGTGTGTCAGTGTTTGGATCTGTGTAACGGACTGTCTGGAACCCCGACTGGGTGCCTCTGCCAATCGATGCTCCTAGTGGTCACTGAGGACTCCTAGCACTCCACAGACACCATCAGCACTGTAGCCCCCTAGCCACCATAGCTTGGCTGGGGGTCTCGCCGTCCCTTTCCACCCTGGACCATACTTCTGGATCCAGCTCCCAGGGGGAAGGCCTCTCCTCCAAGAGAGTATAGCTGTAAAGCTCTTATAAGAGCTAGTGATTATAGCCAATATAGTAATCCAAAGAGTAATCCCAGGGGCAGGGATTATAGCTGGTTTGGCTGGTGTAGCACTTGCCTACAACAAGAGACAAGACTCAGTGATGAGGGTAAAAGTAAGACTAGTTTAATGGTAGCCACACTTGCCTTTTACACAAACTTACAAACCAATAATGACAGTTACAATGTAAGGTACATGGCATACAATCCCTCCCCTCTGCCTGGGAGATAATTGAGTCAGGTACTGTATTGACCCAATTATCCCCAGTCAGAAAAACACACATTTCTTTAAAGTCCCAAAAGTACCCCAAGACACATAATATCCCCACAAATGTTACACCCAATTACAGATAGTGATTTCTGTGTTTAGTAAGTGCTAAAACAAGAGCAAGGAATTTTGTTTTGTTTATTGTTATTTGAAGCACTTTTTTTTCAACAAATAAATCTGGAAAACTGAACTGGATGTGTCTTGAACTTTGATTACCCTAGAAGGCTGTGGTTACATAAGATCTGTGACAAAATCCTACCTGGAAAAGAGGTGGTTTGTTACAACGTGTACAGACATCCGATCAACAATTCTGAGTAAAAGGCACATTTGATCCCCCACCCCTACAGTCTTCAATCAAATTTTTTCTACGGGTATTACAACATGAGACCACAATGTTTAAGTATTCCCCGCAACATGGATGTGACAGCCACCACGATGGGAAGTGGGGTTTTGCCGCCAGAGATGTTCTTTTCCCCCTTAGTAGGATGGATGCTGTAATGCAGAGCAGGAACAGCTCTTACAAGAGCTAGTGATTTAGCACTCCAAGCAGAAGCTGTTATAGCTTTCTCCCACAAACATGAGACAAGGCTCTATGCTGTGGGACAACTGGTTTTAATGGGGCCACACATAGCCTTTTATGTCAATCACCATTCAAGGGGCACTGCCCTCTGGACCTGAGAGTAGACAACCGTAGAAACCTACACATGATTACATTGGCTCTCAGGTCCAGGACACCCCCATACAAAATAAGATAATCCCTCCCCTGTGCCTGGGAGATAATTAAGTCAGGAACTTTACTAACTCAATTACCTCCAGGCACAGAAAACACACATTGTAGCCTTGCCCCAAAAGTGCCTCCAAAACCTATGGAAACCCCACAAAAGTTACATACTCTGATAGCCCTAGTCTGGGTGACCAACATATTAGAAAATCACCCAGATCAGTCTAGGGGTTCAGGAATTTTATGGAAATCACTTATGTGACCAACCGCAGGCATCGTCCCATGCCCAAAACAGTTCCAGAGAATCAGGGCTTACGGTCGGTCTAGTTTGGTAGTTTGAAAAGTCAAGTCTTACCCTGGAGCTTGTTCCCTTCATCCAGACAAATGATCCCACCGAACAGTGCCCTTCTAACTTGGATAGAAATGAACGCAGGTGATAATGGAAGTCCAGCAGTGTTCAGAAGTTTCTCTGTCTGATTTTAGTTCCATGTGATTCATGCCCAAACACCGCTGCCTGCGATAATGCGACCGTGGCTTTCAGGTTGGGCAGAAAGTTTTAATTTTAAAACCTGTCCGACACTATAAGTTACAGACTGCCTGGCAATGCCCTTATAAAGTGTTGGAACAGTGATGTGACACGACGTATATAATTGGTCCCTGTGCAGGGGCAGGGGGCGATGCATGCTCCATGTGAATATGATGGAACCAGTGGCGTACATACCGGGGTTGTGGCTGCGACTGGGCTCAGCCCACCAGGGGGCCCAGCCGCCCTGCGAACCAGTATGCACGCCAGTGTGGCCAGCCTCTTCTCCTGGGGGGCCCAGGAGCTGGCCACCTCAGGGCCCCCCAAGGCTGGCCCTGGTGTCACCGGGCGGCCGGTCATGCGGGCGCGCGAGGGAGCACTCTCCCCTGAGCACTCTCTGCCCAGCTCCCTTGTGGGAGGCGTACTGATGCAGGAGCCTGAATATGACGTCCGTCACGTGCCCGCCAGACAGACAGACAGCCCGTCCGGTGACCGGCCACCCAGCAGCACCACTGGACCCCATGGAATCCCCTCAGCTCTCCCAAAGGTAAGGAGGCTTGGGGATTAAATTAAAAAAAAACATGTGTATGTGTGTGTGTGTGTCTGCTACTGAGTGTCAATGAGTGTGTTAGTTTTTGTGTGTGTGTTAGTTTGTGTGTCTGTTATTGTGTGTGTCAGTGAGTGTTACTATGTGTGTCTGTTACTGAGTGTGTTTGTGTGTGTTTGTTAGTGAGTCTGTTTGATGTCTGTTAGTGAGTGTGTGTTTGTCAGTGAGAGTGTATGTTTTGTAAGTGAGTGTGTATGTGTGTCTGTATGTTGCTGAGTGTGTCTGTTTGTGAGAGTGTGTGTTTAAAACCCTTTCAGCACTTACCTTTCTCCAGTGCCGGACTCCCTTGGCGCTGGGGATCCCTCCGCCCCAAACCGCCTCTCAGCTCCTAATGTGCATGCGCAGCAAGTGCTGCGCGTGCATTCAAACCGCCCATAGGAAAGCAAGACGTCCAGCTTCTTCTCACTGTGATTTTCACAGTGAGAATTGTGGAAGCGCCTCTAGCGGTTGTCAGTGAGACAGCCACTAGAGGCTGGATTAACACTCAGTGAAACATAGCAGTTTCTCTGAAACTGCTATGTTTTCAGCTGCAGGGTTAAAACTAGAGGAACCTGGCACCCAGACCACTTCATTGAGCTGATGTGATCTGGGTGTTTGTAGTGGTCCTTTAAGTGTGTGTGCTTTCAGTGGCGTACATACCGCGGTGTCAGGTGCGACCAGGTGCCCGCCGTCATGTGTTGCGGCCCCGGCCCGCCCAGAGTAAGCGCGGGGGGCCCACAGAACAACTTTCACACCGGGGCCCCATGGGTCATGTGTATGCCACTGGATGAAGCCCTACCAAGAATGCTCCGAAGAGGTGACTGCTATCTGCGCAGCCCCCTCTGAGGAGTTTGACAGCCTTCCCCTCCCAGACCTCCTGGGGGACAGAAAGTTGTCTGGGGACATAGAGGAGGTTAAGTTGGGAGATCGGTTGAGCCCACAGGAGTGTAAACTATTAAGAGAGAAGCAAGACACCTTCTCTAATATACCTGGTTACACCCCTCTGGCCACTCACCAAGTAGAGACACCAGGTCAACTCCCACTGTGCCAAACCCCATACTGCATCCCAGAGGTGGTACGGGAGAACATGCTCAAGGAGATCGAGATGCCTCAACTGGGCGTGATTGAGCCATTGGACAGCCCCTGGGCCTCCCCAGTAGTTCTCGTACCCAAGTGGGATGGGACGACCCGCTTCTGCGTGGACTACCGGAGGTTGAATGAAATGACAGTGTCCAACGCATATCCTATGCCAAGGATAGACGAACTTCTAGACTGGATGGCACGGAGCCAATACCTTACAACCAATAATCTCTGTAAGGAGTATTGGCAGATTCCCCTAGCCCCGGACGCCATCCCTAAGTCAGCCTTTGTCACCCCATTTGGCTTATACCAATTTAGGATAAAAACACTCCGGCTACTTTCCAGAGGATGGTGGACCGATTCCTAGATGGGTTCCAAGACTGTACCTGCGCTTACCTAGATGACATCGCCATATTTAGTGATACCTGGTAGGAGCACTTGGCCCATATAGGAGCTGTTCTAGACATGATCAGGGAGGCTGGCTTAACGTTGAAACCTGCCAAGTGTAATATAGGGATGGCCGAGGTACAATATCTTGTACATCGTGTAGGCTGTGGGAAGCAAAAACCTGAGCCAGCAAAGGTATAGGCCGAAGCCCAGTGGCCAACCCCCAGGACTAAGACTCAAGTATTAGCTTTTCTATGGACAGCAGGTTACTATAGGAAGTTTGTCCCCAACTGTGACGAAGTGCATTTCGCCACTTGGTCCTGGAGAGGCCTGCTTGCCAGCCTCCTCCCCTGTGACTATGACTCTTTCATGTATTTGGTTTTAAAGCCCCTAGTGTACCTT